ATTTGTATATATTTTGTTACATGAATATCTGAACATACAAAACATCAAAAGAAAGAACAGGGTATCTGCTTGTAAACAAAAACATTTTATTCTAGCTTCATGCATTCTTTTTTCAAACACTTGAATGTGGATAAGTTTCATAAATAAAAAATAAAGAAAGAAACCACATTTTGAACAAAAAGCTGAAAAAAGACTATTAATTGGATTCAGAATGATAATCAAAACGTAGATAAAGTCGATCAACACCCAAAAGCTTGAAAGTCATTATTACCTCTTCACTGATCGACATTTTATTCCATAATGTTATATAGTTTTGATACCGTTTTATGTCTGATGATCGTGTTAGATTACATGTGGAAGCATCTGTTGTTTCGGTTTCTTCTTCACTTGTGAGTTTTGGAAATTCTGTACAGAATTTCGCCCCGTACAGTATAACAATGAAAACACGGATTCTAGGAGCACAATTATAGCTAAAATATATTTAGACTTTTTCTAAGTATAAGTCAAGTATACTTAAATGTCATTTTAAGTATATTTCTGAGAAGTACATAAAGCCCATTTCTGAGAAGTAAACTAAAAGTATACTTTCCTATTTTTAGTTTAAAAAAGTATACTAATAGCACACTTGAATAAACTTCTTTTTCGTAAGGGTTAGGAAATGGGAAATGCATGCATTCCATCTGACCAGAAACTCAGCAGAAAGGGAATAAATCAAAAGCAGAGGCAGGGAATAAAAAACCTAAAATCCTTTTGAAGCGGGCCAATTCAGCTGCGTCAGAGGGGAAGTCATCTGCAACACAAACTTCTGTCTTGACATGTTCAGGCAGCAACCAACAAAACTCACAGTTTCCCACTTCCACCCCCGCTAACACAGCTGCTGATTGGAAATGATAAAACACTGGACAAGCCCCTTTTAGACCATATAAAAGTCACAAACAGAGACTGTGGAGATCAATTAAACTTCCCTGCAGAGGAACAAGACTGAAGTATGGAGCACTTAACAGCTCTCAGCCTGACACTTGCGGTGTTTTTGGCTCTTTGTGATGGCGGTCCCACAACAGCATCACCAGAAGACCATCAAATAGCAGAGGCAAGTACCCATAAGTAAATAAATAATTATTTATTTATTGACTTTTAAATATTTATTTATGTACTAACTTATGCACTTTATGCAGTTTTTTTATATTTACTTTTAAAAAAATCGCCAAATCTAACTTTGTGACTATGATAAACTTTTGATAACTATGATCTTTATCAGTGCTATTTTTAATAAGTGTAAAAATGTTCCTTCCTCTGTCTTCCCAGGCATACCTGTCAAAATTCTACAGGGACCTAAACGCTACTAAATTCCGCAGCAGAATGATACCAGATCTAGACGATGAACTGAAGGCCATGCAGAAGTTTTTTGGTCTGGAGGTCACGGGTAAGCTGGACTCGAACACTCTTGAGACGATGAAGCAGCCACGCTGTGGAGTCACTGATGTGGCCAGATATGAACACTTCCAGGGGAGGCCCAGGTGGAAGCAGAGCATTGTAACATACAGGTAGGAGGAAGGTTTAACTCCTTCATTTTGTTCAAACTGAGAAAATGTGTTTCTTCTGTGGATTTTGGGTGCTGAATAGATAGATAGATAGATAGATAGATAGATAGATAGATAGATAGATAGATAGATAGATAGATAGATAGATAGATAGATAGATAGATAGATAGATAGATAGATAGATAGATAGATAGTTAGATAGATAGGATACTAAACATTAATTGTTTTTTTTCTCTTAGAATAACTGAATATACATCAAAGCTGAGCAAGAGAGAGGTGGACGCCACCATCTCTAATGCTTTCCAGCTCTACAGTGATGTTATTCCACTTGACTTCAAACAGATCTACAGCGGCACAGCTGATATCATGATTCTCTTCAAAGCAGGATGTGGGTATAAATACAGTACCCTCAAAAGTTTGGAATAATTCAAATTTTCTACATTGTTTTTGAAAGATGTCACTTATGCTGACTTTATTTCATCAAAAATGCAGTAAACAGGACTATTGTGAAACATTATTACAATTTAAAATACATTTACATTAAAATACATACATTTCTATTTGAATTATTATATTTTAAATGTAACTTATACCTTTGACGGTAAACCTGCGTTTTCAGCATCATTACTCCAGTCTTCAGAGTCACATGATCCTTCAGAAATCATTCTAACATGCTCATTTGGTGCTCAAGAAACATTTCTTATTATCAATGCTGAAAACAGTTGTGCTGCTTAATTTATATTTTTGCAGTGATGCAATACCATTTCAAAGTTTGGGGTAAATAGGATTAAAAAAAATAATTATATATATATATATATATACACACACACACTTTTATTCAGCAAGCAGACACTAAAATACATCAAAAGTGAAAGTAAAAATATTTATAATGTTATAGAAAATTTCTATTTTAAATAAATGCTGTTAATTTCTCTTCATCAAAGAAACCTGAAAAAAAATCATGAACTACACAAAAATTATTAATAATTCAGTACTGATAATAATGGAAATAAATTTAAATAGTAATATGTCACAATATTACTGTTTTATTGTTTTTATTTTAAAAAATGCATCCTTGGTGAGCATAAAATGCTTCTTTCAAAAACATAAACAAATTTGTTTCCTTTTAGATCATGGAGATTTTTACCCATTTGATGGGCCTAATGGGGTTCTGGCCCATGCCAACGCACCCGGTCCAGAGCAGGGAGGAGACACACACTTTGATGAGGATGAGAGGTGGACCTTAAGTTCACGAGGTGAATGCACAAATCACACAGAATCACATGCTTATGTGTATGTTAACTTTTTATTATTTATTATTAAAAAAACATAAATCTACTTCAGATATAAACCTGCTTTTGGTGGCTGCTCATGAATTCGGACATGCACTGGGACTAGAGCACTCCAATGACCCTTTGGCTCTCATGTATCCAACTTACCAATACATCAACACGGATGGCTATACACTTCCCCGTGATGACCGACTTGGGGTCCAGGCCCTGTATGGTAAGTGTTTTGTTGTGACAGAAAACACATACATTAAATACAATAGATCATATTGTAGGGCAACTGGAGAGCATTATCAACTATAAAACTCTCAATAAAGATGTATCCCCCCCCCCATTTTGTATCATGTTTTAGGAGTTAGAACATCAACAAATAAACCTGAACCAAAACCAAATCCTGGACCGAGCCCACCAGAACCATGTAAACGTGACTTGGTGTTTGATGCAGTGACCAGCATCCGTGGAGAACTGTACTTCTTTAAAAATGGGTAAGAATTTATTTATTTAATTTTTTTATATTTAATATATTTGATTACATGCACACACACTGTGTGTGTGGATGGGAGTAAAAATATATGATTAAAAAAATAATAATATTTAATTCTTCATTTCCATCAGATATTACTGGAAGAAGGGCTACTATAGTGGACTTTCAATGCATGAAATAAAATCTACCTGGCCATCCATTGACTCTGTTGATGCTGGTTATGAGTTCAGTGGCAGAGACATTAGTTTCCTCTTCAAAGGTAAAGTCATGTTTCCTAAAGTGTCTTTGGTGGTGTATAACAAGGCTTCAATAAATGCAGTTGTGTGGTCTTCCACATTCAGGTCAGCAGTACTGGGCAGTAAAAGGCAGAACTACTTTACCTGGATATCCCAAACCCATAACCAAATTCGGGTTTCCCACATACGTGAGAAAGATTGATGCAGCTGTATATGTAAAATCAACTGGGCGCACTTTGTTTTTTGTTGGAACCAAATACTGGAGGTAAGAAAAAATGAATGATTAGCTTAAATGAACCATTGTCTCCACTTAATATTGTGTTGATTTTTCAAAATAACATCAAAACTAATATAATTTTAACAATGGTGTAGCTTCAATGAAAGAACAGCTCAAATGGACAGAGGCTTTCCTAAAACTATTCAACATAATTTCCCTGGCATTGGGTCACGGGTGGACGCTGCTTTTGAAAATGATGGTGAGTTTAAACACTATAAAACAAAAACACTGACTATTCAACCATTCATTATTTAATGATGTTTCCTGTAATCATTTTTTTCTTCTTTTTAGGTTATCTGTATTTCTCAGAGGGTTCAAGGCAAACGGAGTATAATTTCAT